TTGAAGAACCTTTTGAAGCACCTTTATTTTTAAGAGTGTAAAAATGCATGTCATACATGCCTTGGAAACTCCTGTGGGATGAACTCCTTCTCTAAATCATCCCATCCGGTGTAACCATTACAAACCAAGAGGAAGAGCTCTCTATGCAAATCCCTCTGCTTAGATACAAGTTTTTATGGAGTAAAACAGCTGTTCGGGACACACACTGAAACACTTGTGACTCAGAGCAGCTGTTCCAATGACATTAATAAGAAATCCTGTTTTTTTTATGCTGACAGTGTCACCTGACTCCACCTTTCCCCTCATCGTCTTGATGACTTGCGTTGAGCTCTTCACCTTCATCACAGCCCGTCCCACTAACATGCCACAAGGAAAAAAGGGTCTGCAGATGCTGTATCAAGATATGCGTACGCTGCTGAAATTAGTATCACAAGAAAGGCATGGGGTAAATACCAGTTTTTTATGGAAATGCTTTTCTAATTCATTTTAGGATAAATTTCAGAATAACACATGTTTACATTTTGCTCAATAAGCTTATTGTTTGTCTAAAAAAATCCTTGACATTTTTCAGAATGAGATGAAAGACTTTGAACAATCACTCACATCCCTGCCCTCACTGAACTACAAAACAGAAGACCTGAAATCACTCGAGGTAGAACATCCACATCTCTGCCTGTTTTTTTTTCCATGTCTGTTTCAAGCATCTAGACTTTCTTTTTGATCGAACATTTTTATGAATAACATCCTAAATTAAGACCAGACTGATATCCCAAGCAATCATAACTTCTCCCAAACAAAAGGCCAGACTGGAACAAAAATGCAAAGAAATTCATACAAGCGCCACAAGTTTGCTTAGATAGATAGATAGATAGATAGATAGATAGATAGATAGATAGATAGATAGATAGATAGATAGATAGATAGATAGATAGATAGATAGATAGATAGATAGATAGATAGATAGATAGATAGATAGATAGATAGATAGATAGATAGATGTGAATGTGGATTGTGTGTAACATCTGGCTCCTTTTGACCCACAGGTGAGCAGTACATTAGGACAGCTGTACTCTGGTCTTAAATCCTTCAAGTTCCATCTTGACTGGATCCAGCAAAAACAGGAAGAAATGGGGAGTGATTATTATAAGACAAAGAAACTTGCTCATCGCATCCAAGTCATCAGCCACATGGTGCTCATACAGGTAAGAACCATTCAACACACCTACAGAAGGAAATCAAACAATATTTAAATATCTTAAAAGCTGTCAAAATGGATGTAATGGATTTGTCAAAATCATGTGACACTGAAGACTGAAGTAATGGCTGCCATCACAGGAATAAATTAAGCATAAAGAAAACTGTTATTTTCAATTGTAATAATATTTCATAATATTACTTTTTACTAAAAAAAAAAATAAAAAAAATTGTATTTAATTTAAACATTCAAATGCCAAAACATAAAATGTACTTCAAGTGGCATGAAAGTACATTTCTATAAAATATAAAATATATTTTGGGTAAATGCAAAAAGTTTTTTTTTTCACAATTTTGTACAATATACAGTATATATTTAGATTAAAAATATATTTAAAAATGGCCAAAAATGGGATGAAAAATGTATATGTGAAAAAAAATAATAATAAATATATATATATATATATATATATATATATATATATATATATGAAGAGTTCATATGCAAAAACAAATCAAAACTAAGTTAACAATTTTCAAAAATCCAGTTTTTTCATTGTGCATTCCAATTAATCTCAATCAAACTGCAGTTGGGTTATTTTAATTAGGTTAAAAAATAACAAAAAAAAATACAGCTAACTAACAAAATAACACAATAAAAACATGAGAAAATACTAAAAAAAACATGATTTTTGAAAATTAACAAAACGGAGTTATCTGTTTTTGCAAATAAACTCTTCTCACACACACATATATATATATATATATATATATATACAGTATATAGACATTTATGAACTCCAAATGTCCAAATGTTATTTATTAACTCCAAATGCGTTGGAAGGTTCAGGGTGACAACAGATGGAAAAGCATGGAATAAATAGATTATTTTAAAAACCATGATGGCTGACAGACAACAAAAATGTGAAAAAAGTAAGAATTTGTTAAACAGAAATCTTCTAAACCTTCTTACAGATTGGGACGACACCATCTGAACTGGTCTACCCTTCCCTGTCGCCTTTGAACACAGCTTGGAACTTGTACCAGGCCAATGTGGAGATCCTTGACAAACTGTATTTCTTTTGCTGCTGGTACATTAGAGCACTGGGAGTCCTGAAACAGACAACAGTGATCAACAACATCATATGACACCAGTAGCCCTCAGCTTATCTCCATGATGCCTGACTTGTCTTAATGTTTGATAGGATGGAATGAACCTTCCAGCCTTTGTAAGTCATTCTCCATTTTGACAGTGTTCTCCAATTAACGTTTCCCATGTATGTTGTTGCTTTTATTTTATTAATAATTTATGTATTTAATATTTATTGAACAGTTCTTTGTTTACAATGAAGGATTTTTATACATAGAGTGAATGAGAAAAATAGCACTTTATAAAAATGTCAAGTGTGCCATTTCAATAAGGGATGCAAATAATCAGCTGCAGGCAGTTGCTAATAATGACCATTAGATGTCGCTTAGAAACCTTTTACTGTGGTTATTAATGTGATATACTGTATAATTAAATGCAGTTCAGGACGGGCACTCTTTTATTTATTTCACCAGTAAGTCCTGAATCAACATTCTTGTTGAACAACAAAACTATCTTCCATTCTAATTTTAAGGTTAAGGTTAGACTTTAGGCACAGTTGCCACTTGAACAGCACAGTGGCTAAAGCAACTGTATGCAGTTTTTTTTTTTTACCTTGAAATATCAGTTTCGGAATAATTCTGATGGTACACTTACTTCTAATAAGGCGAATGGCTTCCGTTTCCTTTTCACGTTCCCCACAAACCTCTGTTCTGCATGTATGTAATGGTGAATGGGAACGAAATACCAGAGCTTGGCTTAATATTGGGAGATGTGAGGGTCTGTAGTACTTACCATTGGAAAAATCGTGACGGCTAACTTGGATCACATGAGGCACCTCAGCCAATCATAAAATGGCCTCTGGTCTCCTTCCCTGCATACCGCCAATGCAGCAGCATTAGCATTAGCCGTTACGCTTTTTTGGCTAAAGGTTGCAGACTTGCCTTCCAGTGTCTGTGGTACACCTGTCCACTGTATTTACCACAGTGAAGTCCACTCATTTAACTGTAGGTTGTTCCATGATCACAAAAATATGCAAAACTACATGCAGTTGCTTTAATGGTTATAGGGTTAAGCCTATGTTTGTTTAACAGGAATTTTTAACAGTGAATGATGTTGATCCACGGCCTATTTGGCAAAAGTAGAATAAATGGAAGATGAAACTGGACATTCAACACAAAACAAAGTCCATAGTTTCATTAGGGCTAATGGATGCTATTGCTGCTGCACCGTGGGTTTTTGTGAACATTGCAAAATGCAGTAGCTTGAAATGCACTCACTGCCTTCAGATTGCATTTAATCCCTGTGATTGTGTTTATTCTAAATTAAAGGTGCCACCATATTGCAGAAATGCACTGAAAACAAGAAAAAGAAGCCTTACATTACTTGAAAAAAACTTTGACATTGTTCATAATGGATTCATCAGACTACATGTAGACAGGAAAACAGATTTGCAAATGTGTACAGTGCATACAGTGGTGTTAATATCAGATAATTATTTGGTAAAATCATTCAGGTGAAGGGAACAAACACCTAAATTCCCTCTGATTAAGCTTTGCAAGCCCATTGAGAAGGATGTAGATGCTTCAGTTGTGTCCTGGATGTTGTGTTTATTTTTCATACTTTCTTTTTATACATATCTATATATTTATATTTTTTATTATTTAATTGTTTTTGCCTTTTTTTTCTTTCAATAAAATGATTTTACATCAAACGATCACAGCTTCTTCTTTTTTTTACTTCTTGAGCTGCGTCAGCAACAACTGAACCTTTAATAAAACAATAATCCAACCATCATCACATCGTTTCTGATGTTCTGTATATAATCAGTTATATTTGGATTTTAATATTTGTTCCTTAAATAAACTTGTGTCTTATTTGTAGGTTTCATTTTCCTGCCCCGTCTGGCTGAGCATTTTCACAGATAGTTGCGCTTATAGATCCAGAAATTGCCAGTATTAGTGTAATCAACCGTGAATGTCAAAATCTTTGTCAGGATGACTAATACCAAACGCTGCAGAATAGGGAATGGGATATGGATAAAGGATATGTCATATGACTGTGTGTGAGAGAGTTTAAAAAGCTGAAAAGTCAGGATTTGGCACATCCTGCAGAAAGAGAGATCTGCAATATAAGCGTTTTGTGTACCACTCTCTCGCAGCTGTTGGATTTGTCATGCTCCCTGAGAGAGAAATCGAACATGCTGGCCAGCATCATAACACATTCGTCAGATCCATGATACAGAAAAAAAGATAAAGGGCTATTAATCGATTTCCATGATATGCTGATCAATCAAATCAACAGCAATTAAATCAGATAATCTAGTATTTGCTGTAAATGAGGAGGTTTTGATTAATCACACTAAATCACAAAAAAAGATAGAAGGTACAAAATGTGAGAGCATTAAGTACATCAGAGAGAAGAACTGAAAGGGGGGGGGGGGTATAGGGACAAATTGTCTGTTATACAAGCTCTACAGAACTGTCAGCAATGAACACCATAACATTCAAAAGGAGGGGTAATGGTAGCAAGAGCGCATGTGAGTGAGCATACTGGGGGGGGGGGGGGTATAGTGACAAATTGTCTGTTATACAAGCTCTACAGAACTGTCAGCAATGAACACCATAACATTCAAAAGGAGGGGTAATGGTAGCAAGAGCGCATGTGAGTGAGCATACTGGAGAATTTGGATAGACACAGAGAGAGAGAGAGAGAGAGATAGTACAGAGAGACTATTGAACTGTATAAAGCTGAGGACAAATGCAGTATAGCAATCAGGATATGTACTCAGAAGCAAAAGAAACTGTAACCTCTAAGTTGATTCATGACTGGTTGACCTGCTGTTGCCTGTATAACCTGCAGCTTTCAGTGACTAGAGTTTATGGATAGACTGATCAACAGGGAACTGCACCTCTAAATTCCCTTTCAGCCTTCAAACAGCAAGTATGACAGTAAGTCTTTTCATTTCTTTAAAAATGTCTCTTCTATATGGATTGTGCACAGATTTTAAAAGATTTTCATATAGCATGTAATGTAATTTAAAATAAGACACTTGTTCATGGAATATGGGCTGTGCTCCATTCCATATGTACACTGCCGTTCACAAGTTCAGTAAGATTATTCAATGTTTCAGAAAGAAGTCTCTTACTCTCACCAAGGGATGTATACGTGTATAGAAGTGCTTAAAAGTTATAAAAAGTGTTTTTAGAACATGCTATGTAATTCAGCGATTTACAACATTCACAACTAATCCTGAAGAACTTAGATGTGCTGCCCATTCCGCTGTTCTTGACAAGGGGTTAACCAAACACAACTTCTGGTGAACTGTCTGTCCTCACACAGCTGATGCCCAACAGGTGCACCTTATCCCTCTTATGCAACACTGTCCCCCATCATCCTGAACTATTGCTTTACTAAAGAGTGTAACCTTTCTGCTTTTGGGACATCAAAACATACACAGACTAAAAACCTAAAAACACTGAAACAGCATCCAGTTCAAATACAAATCATTACATTCGACCATGCTACATGAATAAATGTTGATCAGTTACCAATACTATTACTGAACAGAACACCTAATCCTATGAAGCTCAGCTGAATAGCAGAGCTGTCTGTGGACAGTTAAGATGTGTTGACAGAATAGACAATCCTCAGAACTGAGCCCCAAATCACCCTTTCGCTGTAGTGACCTTATAATAGTATGCAGTGACAGATCCCAGCAGTATATCTCTGATCCAGCCAGATCCCGTTTACTTTCAACATGGCATTTTGTGGTATTTGACAGCTAGTGAAACCTTGTTGACCATGCCGCAAAAAGGTAGAAAACAACTATGGGAACTATGCCATGGGTATTAAACAAGACTTTTTGCATGCTAATTAGTAAATAGTGATGCTCTAATTTAGTGTCTTTGAAACAAAGTGGAAAACGAGGCATGCAAATTCTCCCTCAAATTACATTAGGTGTTGAATGTTTGGCACATCCATCTGCAACCCTGACTAGTTTTGCTTCTTACAGACTGCCACAAGACTTCTGGATGAGCTGTGTCACTTAACGGCTCAGTCTCTAGAATCACTGGAGCCTTTAGATCACTTCCAAGTTATTAAACTTCTTGGGGAGGGTTCATACGGAAAAGTCAAGTTAGCAGTGCACAAGAAGAGAGGTAAGTTATGTCGCTTTGTCTTTCTCTCATCTGATCTTATCCATGCTATATCACATTTCTGGGAACTCTGCTAGATTATTGTATACTGCTTCCTTCTTCCTTTTCATTTGACAATATCTCCATTATTCCTCCAAATTTGCATGGAATCTAGGAACCCCAATGGCCCTTAAATTCTTTCTGCGAGACGACACATCTCTACTGTCTTTTCTGAGGGAATATAACCTGTCTTTGGCCTTCTGCACCCACCCCTCACTTACCTCTGCTTTAGGCATCGCATTCTCCACTCCTACTCACTATGTGTTCGCCCAGCAACCTTGCCTCTATGGTGACCTCTATGATGTCATCGTTCCTGAGGTTGGTAAAAGTTTAACATCAGTTTCATGCATCTTAATGATGACTGCTCCTGGAGGACCGATGTCCTGCAGCGTTTAGCGCCAGCCTACCCCAATACACTTGCCTGGATATTTCTAGTAATGCTGAAGACCTAGATAAGTTGGATCAGGTGTGTTTAATTGGGACTGAAGCTAAACTCTGCAGGAAAGTGCCCCTCCAGGAGCAGGATTACACACCCAGGTTTGAATCAGTGGTTTCTGAGCATGTGCCCCCAATTTTACACATTTTGGATGTCTCCTTATTCAAATAAACCTGATTCAAATCATCAGATCATTAGTAGAGACTCCAAGACCTGAAATTGTTGTGTTCGATTATGGAGACATCCAAAAATGCGTAATGTTGGGTACCAGGGTTGGGAACCACTGATTTGGATAGAGTGAACAATGAACGAACAGAACTTTTTTTTGTAAATAACAGTTACAACAGTTGGTTTGCAATGAAAGGTTGATGCAAGCTCGGTAAATTGATTAGTGCTTAAATCAGGGGTGTCCACCCCTGGCCAAAGTGGTAAACTGGTTTCTTCATTGCAGGTTGGTCTGGAAGAGAGCCGTGCCCAGGGAGTGGCTTCCCAGATCAGCGGTGCCCTCTCTCACCTCCATTCTCTTGGCTTTGTCCATCGTGATGTCAAACCGGAGAATATCTTCCTATGTGACCGTGAGTGTCGTTGGGTCAAGCTTGGTGACTTTGGCATGGTGAAGGCTGCAGGCACCAGGGTACCATGTGTGTGGTACTGCTCCCCTTACTGCACGCCTGAGGCTGAGATGGCAAGAAAAAATGAGGAGAATCATTTGGGCCACTTGGGGGTGGACAACAATGGGAACAAGCAAAAAGGGGACTCTGGAAAGACTCAAAGAATGTTGGTGTCTGTGGTTCCCAGTATAGACAGCTGGGCGTTAGGCATTCTAATCTACGCCATGCTCATGGGGAGCCTTCCATGGTCTGAGACCTTTTCAGACAACCCAGCATATAAAAGATATCTACAATGGACCAAATGGGAAGGTTCAGCATCACAAGAGTCACGAGGGGGGTCAGATCAGCCTGAAAACTTCAACCAGGTTGCACCGCAGTTTGCTGCGTTCAGCCCTATTGCGGCTCGTCTTCTTAGGTCCTTGCTCCACCCACAGTCCAGGCTTCGTGGCAGGCCAGATGAGGTGGAAAGGTATCTGGGAGTAGCCTGGCTATTGGACAAGGATGTCAGTGGGTGATTCATCAAAGGAAGGACAGGACCGAAATCAGTAGGTTGTCGTCATCTGGTCATTCACTCCATGTGGGAACAATGGTTATCACTTTTTAGAAGTAGTTCTGATGTTAACAGGCAGTTTTAATCAAAAGCCTGCTGTTTAATATGCTACATAGAAGCATTATTAGTTGAGAGTTTGTTTTCCCAACTGACCACATTATATCTTAGCTGTAAACACTAAGAGCCAGATTTACCAAACAGGGTAAATTAGCATGAGAGCGCAATCCCAAGTGCAGATGGGAGTGGAAAGTTCTGTGGTTAATCTACTGACAATGTGCACATTAAAGAACACAGATGCAGCCAGATAATTTACATAATGACCAATGCAATCTACCAAGAGCATCACAAATTAGCGTCGGGTTTAAGACATGCTTTTTTGGGCATTAAATTACGGCACAGATACCAGTAAATTGACTAGCGCCAACCTTAGTAAATCGCGTTGCGTGATTCATTTAAATACTCTCCTCTCATAACTTTTGTGCCTAAATGAGAAACTCCTACCAAAAGAGGGTTTGCACTGGTGCAAGCTTTTAGTAAATCTGGCCCTAAAGGTTTTGATCTGGCCCTAAATCAGAAGAGTCGTTAAGGGTTATAGAACTGAAAAGGGGTACAAAAAGTGTTTCTAAAAACTTGGGCCTCTATCCACAGTCCAGCAACATTACTACACTCCAAAACAATGTGCATCCTACAAAGATCAATGCTATACCATGGAATCCTTTCCAAAAATATTAGAGTGACAGCCAAAGATCTGCAGGCATCTTAATAACATCTGTGTTTATAAGTCTAGATAAATATTGCTGCCATCTCCACTTTCCAAAGTCCAACTGGACTTCTCGGAAAGGAAAAAAAGAAAGGAAAAAAAAGTAAGGCAGGACTTGATCTTGTCCATCGGGAATTGGTTGGATCGTTCTTTGCTGCAATCTCATGTGAGTGGCACGTTGCTGGAAGGAATGGATTACTGCCTTAGTGCTGGTGCACGCATCAGAGAAAAGATGTTGTCGTGAGAGGAAGTTAATGTTTTTGATTAAGGATTACGAGGGCAGATTTATAATAAATGTTAAAATATTTTATCCTGGACCTCCCCACATGCATAATGAAGCAGGATCCCATAGGGGTTTATGGTGGAACTGCAGGGAACTTGTGGTAGAAATGATAGAAGTGTTAATGTCAAATTAATCAAAATAAAGGATTCAAAATTTAACAGTTTGCTCTGTCTACCATACAAAAATGAATTATTAAACATCTATTTTCAGCAACATTTTGAACTGTAACTATGTTTATATATATCTTGTATATTTGCTTAATGTCGTAAAGATTGGAATGTTCACTCCTGTCTTAAAATCATATTTATGCTTTTAACAATCTACAGTATGCTCATGAAATGTCATCTTCACGTGGAGCACTTGTGAGCGCAAGAGTAAGAAGAAGCACACCTCTCAAATTTCAGCAGAAGACACACAAACACTCAGACACTATGTGCCCTAGATTTAAAAATAACCCACACCACATTAATAAAACTCTTGTCAGCCATCATCACCTCTGTCAGACGCACACTTGAAATCGCATACACACGCATGGGCAAACACACACAGTCTTCACCGATCTTTAAGTGTCTCGCACTTCTGCATTTAAGCATGTCCCTTCATTCATCAACACTGTACACACATACACACACACAAAGTGTGAAGTTACATGTAACGGATAGGTCTTTGGCTTATGGTCAGACTCCTTCAACTGATCCATGAAAACATAACATTGTAAATTATGGAGTAAATATGACAACCGTATTTGCAAAATATATAGAATTAAAATAATTTTGTATAAAGTCAAGTAGATTATCTTTTTTTTTTTACAACTAGACTGTCAAATTAGAAAAAATAATACACAGTATATAAATGAAGACCACCTGACTTTCCAAAACAAAAACAACATTTTTTAAAACATTTAAAACTGCAAACGTTTGCACCAGAAACTGAATGAATACAATCTAAACTGACATCAAAAGTCACTATAGTGCCAGATTTTGCCCTTTCAGTCTGAAGTTATTTAGGCACCTTGTTAAGAGATTAACAGCTGAAATAGCTCATTACTTGAAGGGAGAAGATCCACGAAGATCACTTGATCCCCAGCCCTAACTTTTCCAGCTGCTGTCTGTATGACCTTTCATTTGATATACTACATTAAAACACATTTATGTGCAATTATGTTAGCGTTAAAGTATGCTGTCATCTTGCATATGTTAATTTGTAAGTAAACGTGTGAGAGAAATATCTGTCTAGAAAGTTGATGAATTTATAGCACTGGAATGCCAGAAGTACCAACTTTTTATTTGTAAAGTTTCTTCTTTAAGAGAAAATGTTCACAAAATAAACCTCCAGAAGCTTCTGCAAGCTTCATGTTGTGGAAGGTGCTATGAAATTCCATGAGACAACTTTAACTTTTGAGGAAATATTTAAGCCAAATATTTCAGATTAGCCTATGTATTTTAATTGCATATCAAATGTCTATTCATTGGAATGGAACAATTTTCATTCCATTTGAACAAACTACTAAATTTAATGTGATGCATATTTTCATAAATTAACCAAGAATGGCATTGGTGTAATAGTACTAATAAACCAAATATGTATTAAATACATAATAACCATAATTTAATTTAATTTTAATAATTTCAATATCAATTCAATATTTTATATCTCATACATTAACTAATTAAATCATGCATGTTTCACAGCTAGCCATATTTAAACCATGTTCATACTTGTTAATTGATTAGATTTAATAGATGTATGGCAATTCTATGGAATTGGAAGAAATACACTTTGAAAACATGATTATTTAAATGTGATTACATGATTATTGCAAGTACTTTATAATAAACTATGCAATGGTTAATTTTCAGTGCCTTATTAGAAATGATCTGAAAATCAATTTGCTGTGTATTTAGTCTTAATCATGAAAATAATAATGATTGCGTTTATTTAAATTGCACATCACATCCCCAGTGCCCATACATGCTTACTTTCCTACTATACACAGTATACGAAAAGCAGTATGTGAAATGAGAAAAGGGAAGAATTCAGAATAGCATACTTCTCTCACTGTTTCTGCCATGAAAAGATATGTGTGGAAAAATAGTATGCTATTCTGAATTTAGCCAAGCTCTTTTAATTATTGTAGCTAAAACAAGATATAATTTACAGTGTGTCCGATTGGATAGTTTAATGATTGCACCTTTAATTCTAAAGCACATTTTATTCACTTTAGCAGAACTGGCAGATCAAATGTGTTTAAGAGAGAAAGATCAAGTCCACAATCTATCAGTGAGACATGTTGACAGGGTGGTGCCGAATAACACACGTGTTCACAAGTCACTCACACATTCAGACTTTTGAATGAGGACCGATTTAAACTTGCATCGTCGAGTGAACAGCTGGTCCCCAAACATGCTCCCGTTTTATTAGCCAAGAACATTTCCTCGCAATGTTTCAAAACAAATCTTAACACTGTATTCTGACCTGCTACTACCACGATGAGAGAAAGGACATTTTGTTCATTGCTTGGTTTCTATTTCAGCACCACTGCACTGAAGCCCTGACCATTTGTAAGGCCCAGCTTGGAAGAACTCTCAACAGCTCGGTTGCCTAGCGGACCCGAGTTCGAATCCCACCTCAGACACCCATCACAGCAAGACTGAACCATGGAAGTGGACCCAGCAGTGGATGCTGTCCCTGTCTCCAGTGTGGATCGTATTCTAGCGGCTCTGTCTGGTCAAGCCGCCACCATTCACAGACATGAACAGATCCTAGCTGAGGTACTGCAGCGCCTGAGTGAGCAGGCTAGGCCTCAAGCCTCCCCGGTATTAACCACTCCAGCTGAAGGGTCCACACCCCTGGGCCTCTACCTGAGCCAAGACTGCCGGCACCCGAGAGGTATGATGGGAACCCTGAGAGGTGTCGGGGCTTCATCACTCAGTGCACTTTGACATTTGGTTTACAACCTAACAGCTTCCCCACAGCGAACAGCAAGGTGGCATACATCATCACTCTGCTCACCGGACGAGCACTGGACTGGGCTACGGCTCTGTGGGAGCAGCATTCCCCACTTACTGACGATTGTGACCTATTTGTTGCAGAGATGAGGAGGGTCTTCCATCACCCTACCGGTGGGGGAGAGGTTGACCACAGGCTGCTTCAGATTTCTCAAGGGACCAGGAGTGTGGCAGACTTCGCAATTGAGTTCCGCACCCTAGCCTCGGAGAGCGGGTGGGACCAACGAGCTCTGAGAGCGACGTTTCGCCATGCCCTATCCCCTGAGCTCAAGGATGAACTGGCCTTCCGGGATCTGGCTCCGGACTTAGAGTCCCTTATCGACACGGCGATCAGAGTGGACAACCGCATTCGAGAGCGCAGACGGGAACACCGGGAAATGCAACAAAAGTCCTGGTGTGAAAGCACCCTTGACCAGCTACCATGGTCCACAACATTTACTATCTTAAACTGGATTTTCCAGCAGAAACTGATAAGCACAATATTACGTGATTAACCATCTGTATTTGTGGTGGTTTTATTTACTTTCCAAATCCCTCCACAAACTCTGGCAAGCGAATTAGTCAAATGTGAATGCTTGAGGATGCTAATATGTGCAAATTTCTGTATGTTTGAGAGAAAATTGCTACAAAGATCGATTACAGATAGAAGAATTGTACATGTCATGGTAACCATGTTGTCTGCCTACAATAAAATTAGCAATCAGTTATTACCAGTGTCGGGAGTAACGCATTACAAAAGTAATAATACTACAGTAGTATATTACGTTTTCCTGTAACGCAGTAATATAACGCATTACTAATAAAATTTGGGTAATATTATTACTCTATACAATCTCAGTAACGCAAGTTACAACAACATATTACTAACACCGCAAAACAGCACCAGAGAAAAAATTCCTCGGGTAAAATAGTTAGTCTATCTTCTGTTGCTGGAAATAGATGGTTGAGACGGATTCTACATTTGTAAGATGGACACACTCCTGTTATTTTCAGTTTCGTGCACAGATTTTCAAAAACAACCTGTTTAACGTAAAATACGTTTCTTCTCATGTTTTTCACTATAGGCTACGGGCCACAAGAGAAATATTAAGGGAATAATTTAAGACAGATATATACCATCATCAGCCTATATTGAAGTAATGTTGTCTTAAGAGAATATGCGCCGTTAATGCAGCGTTAGAAAGCTCCGTCAGTTTTTTTTACTTTCACTTTCTCTCTAGACTAGTGAATTTACTGATGTTCACCGCGTTGCTTGACCCCGCCCCCATAATATCAATCGTCTATAGGCCACATATTAGATACCCTACCACATTACCCTCCACTGGGTGTAGAATGAGCAGCAATAAACTACATTTGGGCATTTTATAATACTTCTGTGGATATTTTGGTGAAAGTAATTTAAAAGTAACTCAAAAATAGTGTAACGCGTTACAATTCAGAGACAGTAATATTGTAATGTAACTAATTACTTTCAAAAGACAGTAACTAGTAATATATAACGTATTACATTTTGGAAGTAACTTGCCCAACTCTGGTTATTACTGTAAGACCATAATAGAATAAAGAGTAAAATATTTAATCCACGACAGTGTAGTACTGTATAGTAACTGTGGTATTTCGGCTGAAAAATTAACATAATAACTTTTTATGTTTTGTAAGGGTGACAAAACAGCAGACATACCTGCTGTACTTTGGAGTCGAGAGGCTTGATATCCAATAGCTATGGGCCTCCATAACAGTAATATGATTGCATTTGTTTCCATAAGCTAAACTAGGCATAAAGCATTGTAACACATAAATATTTTTCATATACTGCCAGGGCAAATGCTAATATTTTTGAGAATCATATTCCACAGAGATTATATTATTCAAAATGATAACATTTGAAGCGATGTGTGTTGTTCTTTCGTATATTTTATTTTAGTTTAACACGTAAATGACTATCTGTTATCTGTAAGTAAATGACAATATGGATATGTAATGAATATCTAGATATAATCCCTTTATTTGAGGGACATACGTTTTCTAAATTGTGGCCTTCAATCAGTATTTTTGTATATTTATACTGTACAGGTTTTATATATTCTTATGATATACAAGATGTTAAGCTCTTAACATATCCAAGCCTCACTTAAATTGTACACTTTCAATCAAAATCTCTGCCTTTTTTTAAACACTCAAAACACACACATATGTTCACTCCTCCAAACCTAAGACAAACATATACAGGTCATGACAACAAAATGGACACATCCAACACCTTGTGGACAAATGTAAAGATACTGAAACAATCTTCAAAACATTACCATTAAGTTTTACATATAACTCCCGTGGGATGTTCCTCTCTTTTATACAATCTTTTTCATAATTGAATTTGATTGATTTGTTTTATAAGACTAACATAATTCTTATTAGCCTATTTCTCACCTCCTTGCTCTGCTATGATTAGCAGCTTTACATACAGCTTGCCTCTAATTTTCCATACAATTATGCAGTATCTTTTAATTGCAGTAGTTTTGATGGAGGAATGGGAACAATAATGGAATGAAGGAGGATAAAACTTTTTCAGAACTGGACCCAGTTCCCAGAAGAGGGTTCTTGGCGTGATGCTGGAGGAGGAACAGTGCTGAAAGAAAGCAAGAAAGAAAGAAAGAACGA